GCTTCCCACCCAGGAATTCCCCTGGACAGGAAATGCTGTCCACCTGCATCTTAAGGACAAGGGACACTCATTTGAGGACCAGAATGTTTACACTTTGGACAAAAAAGACAGGTGGTTTGAAAGAGGTGTGAAGGAAGCCATTTATGTCAAGAAAGAAAAAACAACCTCAAACAGAGGGGGTGAACTCAGGGTAAAGCTTTCAAAAACCTACAATGCAGCAATTGAGATGATTCCTTCCCGCTATCATGTCAACCCCCACCCCTATGCAGGGGAAAAAACATCCCGCCTTGACAATCAAGCCAACAATTGCCCCTTTCAGAGGCATAGCCCAGTATCGGGAATTGCAGGCTAACATAGAACCCAAACAACTGCCCATTCCTAAGTGGCAGACCCGTTCTTCTGGTTCTATTTGCATGTTTTTTCTAAGCCAAAAAACAAGTTTTTTGAGCTACTATATAAAGCTTCAAACACAAAGTTAATTCTGACATTTTGAATGGAAAAAGCTTCCTGGATGGGAAGTGAAACGTCTTCAAACTTGGAAACAAAGTCCAGTGGATTGTTGTTTTTATTTATTTTTTTTTTTTTTGAATGACTATGACCTGGATGACTGAGAATCTTCACCAGCATATTGACGAAAAATACATTTTTTGTTTTAATCTTAAATGCAAGATGTTTATATATTTTTTTTTTACAAATTTAATATAGTTACTGCTCTAAGTGGATTACTCTGTCAGCTAAAGGCATATTTCACAGTCTCTATACTCCAGTTAACAATTAATGGATAACTAAATAAGTTGACGATAATTTCCATAATCAATTAATCACGATTAATCCAACTAATTGTGTCGGCTCTAGTTTGCGCATCTTGGGTGGAATAAAAAACAACATAAACTGTAGGGCAATACAGCACCTTGAAATAAAATTTTACCATATGTTTTAAGAAAAAGGTTAGAGCAAAGCCAGAATAGGATTGGGAGTAAAGATGCACTTATTTTTTTTTTCTTTAACAGAGGTTTTTAACTCTTTTTTTTTTATCTCCTTTATACGAACAACATGTCTGAGAGGTTCAGTCTGTTTTGAAGTGAGTACTGCAGGTAGAAAAGCCAAAGGGTATGACATTAGCAGACGGCGCGCTTGCACCCCACACACTGCCCATATGTCACGCCAAATCTCATCTCATCGAGCTCTCAGAGAAGGTGCTGCTGGCGGCTAAAAGGCCACCTTCCACACCGATATCATCAGCCAGATACCCTGTGCTGACTGGAGCTAAGGGGCCACAGCTCTTCTCCTCATAACATCATGATACATTAACTGAGGGGGGCTGGGTCACGACCAAGGAAAGAAAAAAATCATGGTTGAAAACCAAAGACTTTGAAATATTTAAAAAGTCCAGAGACACAAAAGGTCAAGAAAGGTCGCAGTTGATATACTATTTCCCTTTATCATTGGTGACTTTTGCTGCCCAGGTCTGTCATCGTGACTGTTGATAACCATGAATAAGGCAGCGGTTTGTTTGGCATACTATAATGTTCAGCTTAACTTAGTGAAGGACATTGGAAATTAATATTCATCAGAAGATTGGGTTAAGAAAAACGAAGATTTCAGCCACAGTTTATCCCAAATCAGTATCTGAACACAGCTACTGAGTCGGTCATTCTGCACACTGCAAAAAAATGGAAATCTAAGTAATTTTTTCTTAAAGGAAGTGCATTTTTTCTCTAATTGAGGTCGAAAGTGAGAGTCTTTGCCAATGAAACAAGACAATTTACATTTAAAATAAGAAAAAATAATTGCAATGTCTTATTTTAAGTTCATATTATCTAATTATTTTATTTTAAGAGCAAGGATACTAATTTTATTGGCAAATCATTGAATTTACCTACTCAAAGTAAGGGTAAATACACTTAATTTAAGAAATTTTTTTACTTATTTCTAGATCTTTTTTGCAGTGCATACATCTAAAGGACCTCACAGTAACCCCTGACTTAAGTGAGCAAACATGACCTGGCATGTGCTGACATTTGGCATCATTTTTTAATGAGGTTAGTCGTGTAAAAAAAATCTAACACTCACAGACTGCTGGCAGTCACTCTTTCTTTTTGCCCTCAGTCTGTTGTGAAAAAGAATTTGTCCCTTATAGATTTTTGTTTTTTTCTGTTTTCGCTCTGTTGTTGAAATGCCTCATATAATCTAACATTTTTTATGCTGCATAAAGATAACTGGACAGATACAAAATTATTACTTTATCCAATAAGTGTCCAAAAGTTGTCTAAGCCATCCTGATTCAGATATTATTCCGGATTTTTCTATGACCTCCTGATTGAATCGTCGGTTGTGCTCTTGGAGTAATTTTGATTGATGTTTTTCTCTAATGGGACAGATTACCTTTACTATGTTTTTTTTTTATAAAGACTTTAACTTTCTTTTACCTGTTAACTTATTTATAATTTACTTTGTTTCCCCTTTTAAGATATCAATTCCATTGGTTTATTGATAATTTTTTTTAAATTTGGATTCCATGTTGCTGTTTGTGATTTTTAAGCAGCCAGATATGTTCCGTTAGATTTTGTATGCAGGTCAGGTAATGATGGCCCAACTTTCTATAAGAAAAAAAAAAATAGATATGAGTCATCAAAGGGGGAACTTACTCTCTTCCAGAAAGCCAAGTGAATGTGTATAAATTTTTCACCCTTAAAGTATAAAATCCTCACTAAGAATCTGCTCTTCGTAGATATAAAGGTTATCTTCATCCAATTCTAGTGTTTGTTTTATAATCTGTAATATTAAATTCTGACCAAATCTGCTAGAGGGCAAAGACTTTTTCACTCTAAATAGCAACATATGCCTTGTGCTTGACTGACATCTAGTGGTTAAACTATGGTATTGAACATTTTCAGCAGTTAAATGTGTGCTACTGTACAGTATGCCCGCACAGACTGTAAGTCTATAGTAAAAGACGTGACTTGTCCCGTACGACCCATGTTTACTTGAACTGGTGTAGAAAAGACCTAAGATATCAAAAAACGGATAAATCTGAATAAAATTCACAATCACACAGACACAATTGATTTGAAATACATGCAAAATTACCAAACCTAAACAGGGGAAATGTATATTTGCCCGTTTACAGGGAGAACAGTTGTAATTACAGAGATATGAAGACATGTTCTGGACATTAGAAACTGCTGAAAGGAACTGGAAATTTCTTAACATGTATGTAGAAATCTGGACCTATTTTTTGATTACTTTTTCAGTGTAGAAGTAGCAGCAAAGATATTGCTGCAAATAATGAAATAAAGTTAATCCAATCCTTCCTAAAATAAAAGTATTTTCCCTTGTTTTGGGGTAATTTGGAAATGGAATAGGATGGTTTGAGCTTAAAAATAGAAAAAAATAACAACTACGTGATCTTATTTAAAGTGCATAACATTCAGTCCATCCTATTTTAACAACAGAAACACTCAAGCAATCAGCAGATCCTTTTATTTACCTGCTCAAGTTAATGGAACATACACCTACAGTATACTAAGAAATTTTACTTTGTATACAGATTTGAAATACAGACGGAAAAAAAAGACATTTTTGCTCTTTTCAGACTTCCTAGAGTAAAAATCTTTTGAGTTTTTGTCAATTAGAACTAGACTAACTTTTGCATATAAATGAAAGATTCTGACTAAAAAAAAAAAAAAATTAAAAGCTCTTTAAAACATACCAGATAAACCAACCCTGAAAGACCAGAATAGTATCAAAAAATAAATAGTAACAAATGTTGAACCTCTGGAACTTGTAGAGACGAAAGAAGGAGAGGTGGAAAGTGTATACCAACCAGTTTGTGTCAGTCAGACCTTAAGTGGGAAAGACAACATGTCTACCATTCATGGTGCTCTGCAATTAGTGTTAGTTAATCATTGATTTTTAACCTTTTAGAAGTTAGTTTATAACATTTCATTATTTCGTATCTATTTAGCTTATACAAAGCTAATATTTTGCCTAACACAGCTAACTTTTCTGTTTAGCACAACCGGTTTTTCCACTATATTGACATTTGATTGTGCAATATTAAGGTTGTTGTCACATAAAGATAAAAGCCCTAAGATATGAGTCAAAAATTTCCCTGCAGCCATGCAAGCATGGAGAACAACTCCACTAATTGCTACCTTCTCAGATGCTCTTTAAACTCATCATGTCAGCCCCCAACATCTCTACGTTTCCAAAGAGCTCATTAAATCAAGGCTCACAGACACAGAAGCTGCTGCAAACATGAGGTTTTCTCTATTCTTTTGTCACCATACCTGGCACCACTTACCTGCAGGCTAGTTGTTGAATTGTCAGGGCCCATGATAGAAAAAAACAGTTTGATATCATTGTGTCTGCATGAGGTAGAAAAACATTACCTCCCCCCTCTCCAAAAAAACAAGCACACAGCAGGTGATGCCTTCTCTCAGAGGAGACGCAATTAGCTTTCTGGGGGGCAAAACTACAGTTTGTCCCACACAGAAGACAAGCAGCACCTGTGTGTGAAGCCTTGTTGCACCCACATTCAGTGGACCATAACAAGGATAACGAATCAGTGGAGGGCCAAGATGGCTTCTCCTAAAGTGTTTGAATTTTGTTGTTTTTTTATAGAGGTGACAGAAAAAATAAAACTAGTGTCATGATAAGAATGCGGCAAAGATAATTTCAAAACATCTTAAATGGAAATGTTACATTATGAACAAAATATATATACAGGTGAGAAAGAGCAAATGTGCAGATAATAAAAAAACAAAGGTGAAAATTTTTTTGGAAAAAAAATTTGAAAGAAAAAGAAAAATTATTAAATGAAAGAAAAAAAAAAGAAACAAGGGAAACAAAAGGCAAGAGACAGATAATGGAAAAAAAATAGAGCTTAGAAACTGGGAGTAATCATGAGGACAAGGAGAGCAGAGAGCCCCACCGTAAAACTCAGCAGACACAGAAATGTACACATTTTAGTCAGAAAAACGGATAGAACCACTTACTGAGGCTACAGTCTATCCTGATACAATCTGGCGGGAGAGAGAGCGAAATGGTGAGAATAGAAAAAAAAAGGAAAGTAAGAGATGAAAATAAAGAAAGGAGAGAAGAGAATAAAAGAGAAAAACAAGACATTTTACATCCTTCAAGGTACATTCTGCAGACAACCAAGCATTGTTCTGAGGCCACCATCCGGGGACAGGCTCGTAGTCAGGATCACCCTCTCATAGACGTCCAGCATCATCCATCCATTAAATTAAAGCACAGGAGAAGGCAAGGCTAATACATGAACACTGATTTACAGAATGTGTTGAGCTCTGTTGTTCATGTTCTAATTCCTTAATACCAAAATGAGATTACAGAAAGAATGTGGCATTTTATGCCTATTTTCCAGTAGTACCTAATATAAGCCAGATCTGGACTGATGGGATCAATTATATTTGTTTTGATTCATTTTCCGTTCCAGAGAAACAGCATCTTTGGAGGAGATTTTTAATTTCAAGCTGGCCCCAAAGTCTGAAGTCATGTGATTTGTAGTTTTTGTTTACAAGAGATGTAAGAAAATAAAATAGTGTTTACATTGGGATGCTCTATTTGTACGGAGCTCCCTGGGGGACATTTATAACTTTTTGTGAATGAAGTACACAGAGATGCTAGGCAGACGGGAGTTCTTTATGAAGTAAAATTGGATGATATTAATACTTAATAATAACAAAATAATAATAATAAAAAAAGGTAAAGGTGTATTTTTCAAAACCAGCTGTTGTAGTGCGATCACCAGGAGCCCCTTGGTGTGTGTGGTGATTTTGGAGTCTCTGCACTTTATGGCAGTGGAGTTATTGATTTTTATTTGTAACGTTTTGCTGTTGTTTTACCATTTGCAGACGGTCCCTAACCACTCGCCTGGTCGCTGCCTGTGCATAGAGATCAATGTAATACATCCAGCTCGGAGAACGGCTCGTTTTTCTCGAAAATAAGGCTTTTTGATTCTTGTAATACGTAGTTTGTGCTATCAGGACATGAAAGAGGCGCCATTTGTGTTTCAACAACGAGAGTTATTGATCCCGGAAGTCCGAATCTGTGAATATCTTTCTAACTTTACCGAAGTAAAGTTTTGCGTTCTCACGCAAAAGGTTTTGCGAGGTAACGCAAAAGGTTTTGCGAGGTAACGCAATACTTTTGTGAGGGAACGCAAAAGAAAAAAAAATCCCCCATGTCCCCTAGGGGGCTCCGTAATTTTAGATTAAAACTATGCTTTTTAAAAACTGTTTAGTCCTACGTGACTTTCAGGACTAAGCTATAAATAAGAGAAGCCTTTTTATAGTTACTTAATAAAAAAACAAAACAAAAAAAAAACATGTTGATATTAACACTATGAATCGCTAGACAGGTTAAAAATAGTAAAATATTACTTTAAGATAATATTACCTAGCCTGGACTACAGCATATGGAAAGACAGGCTAACGCTACGTAATGTTAGCTTGTAAAAATTGTCACTACCCGATCCGTCCCGGTAGCACGATTCGTATCATAAGCTCATTTGTGCTAACCTGACTCCGCCAGATTGATTTGCTCTGCATATCCATCTGGAAACCTTCCGTTGAAGTAATTTTGGGAAGGGGCGAAAATACTGGTTAGCTGATTGGCCTATGTTGGTGATAGACGGGCCAAATAAACCAATCAGATCAACGAAGCATGTGACGTACTAACAGAGCGACGACGAAAGCACAACCACAAGCCAGGCTACTCTTGCCGAAACCAGTCGGGAAAAGAGCAAAAACATCTTTTCCTCTGAGAAAAGCCTCCAGAGCAGTGTTTTGCTCTTCTTTCAGTGAAGAAATACTCTGTTATTCCGATAAAATTTGCTCGATAGCCACGCTAACGCTAGTTTCATCGGCTGAAGCCGCCATGTTCTTTAGACTGAACTGTCGCGCTTCTCGTTGCGTCACACCTCAACCCGCCTCAAAGCCAACGCTGATTGGACGTTCATTTAGTGAACGGCTCCAAATTTTCTTTAACGGAGAGTCTCCAGACTGATTAGCGAGTGAAACCTTGAAAGCTCGCGAGATCAGGATGGTCTGACGAGGCTACATTTGTGCATGTGGTACCGGATATACATCCAGGTTTCCATAAATAATGGTTTATGGTATGCTATTATGGTACTAAAATGACTTATTTCTATCCTTAAATAAATGAAACTAAATTAAAATGGCATTTTAAAAGCATTTCCCTACTTTATCTGTTATCAAAATAAAATTTCTCTATCATCCATTTTCATGGAAAAAAGCTGTCTGTGCTTCCCGATTTCACCCTAAATCACAGTCATATCTACTACCTGATTGGTTGCTGCGACACGAAGATAAACAAATCTTCACATTTTTTAGCTCAATTACAGCTCCCTCACAGGGCTGTAATTGCCAAAAACATACCTTTTGCCTCACTAGCATCATACCTTTGGCTCCGGATCACCTCACAGTGCCTCTGAGCTGCTCTCAACATAAAGATAACTGGGAAATAGATTGCTCAGAGCACAAGAATCACATTTGGTATGACCACACCATTACTTATCGTAAAGCAATGCAGGCTAATCAACCCGAAGCAAATCACTTTAAGTTGGTACTAGTGGAAAATGAGCAAGAGTAGTTATATTTTTGCCTAAGTTTATACATTTTTACAGTGAGATTTTTGTTTATGTAACAGTGAAATATATTTTCCAGCTGTAAATAATAGCTTCTTGAATAGTTATCCTACTTTACCTCTTTTACGGACACTTAAAGCTCTGCTTGCCTTCTGCAGCACTTCAACATGAGTAAACCCAGAAGAGTAAAAGACAGAGAGGGTGATCTGCACAGCCCAGCCACCACATGCCTGGTGCACCCGCATTAGTTTCTATTAGAAACATAATGTGAAAAACTGAGAAAAGCATTTTAGTCTAAATTAGGTAATTCATCATTTACCCTTGCCTTAGCGAGCAAATGAGTCTGGTTACTTAGTTTAAAGTGACCTATTAAACCCTCTCAAATGAGAGCTACTCAGTAAAGGGATTAAACGCCATTTAAGCATTGAGTCTTTGTTCCCTTCAGACTCTTTTTTTCATTCGTTAAATTTCTGTAACATGGATCAAGTGTGCAAATGGCATTGTGGCTCGGCTGTGGTCTAGAGCTGTCAACCGCTACAGAATAGTGGACACAAACAGCCAGAGACCAGCATCAGTGTGTAGACATGTGGCGAGGGATGCAGTGTAGCTTCTTCACAAGTGCTTTCCTTTGGAGAGTCAAGTTCGAAAAGTCTTGGCTGTTTTGAGAGTTTTCAAAGCTAAACTGGGTTTATCTGTCTGCACATGAAAGGGACGACATCAGCCGATGTGTCGAGCTGCACTTTAGCAGTGACCATCTGTTGCTTTCATTCCAAGATAACGGGCAGTGAACAGTGTCAGCCCAATTAAGATTTTAAAACATTGATTACTTAGATTTTAATGAGGATTGAAGTCTGAACAGATCAGATTGCTGGGATGTGTTTCACAATAATGCCAGCTTGGTTTGCATGGGAAAGAACTATTAAAGTCTAAACGAACGATATTAAACGGGCTCAACAAAAACATCCAAAGATATCGGAAGACTGGATTTGCAGCCTAGTTGGAAAAAAACCAACAAAACTTCTGAGTAGCTCACAGCATGTCTGCAGCTGCCACAGCTGTGAGCTGGTCTCTCTGGCTGTTTGATCCGAGGGCCGCAGACATACAGGCCATTGAAGGGATGAAAAGTTCCATCGTCTGAGTTCTGGCCAGATGGGATGTTTATGAGTGACAGAGAGAAAGAAGGTGAAGGAAGAGTTGGAGGGAGTGGGCTTAAATAATTACAAGGAAGAGTGAACGCTTGGTTTTAACACCTTTACTTGCTGTTCCAGCACTACTTCCTTGTGTTATTATCTCCCTGCTCCTTCAAGAGGTCCGGATTCAAGTAGTTAGCCTCTTATCTGAAACAATCCAACTTCCACATTGTGTTCTTTGTGCTATTTCAGTGACCTAGGTCAGAAAAGGTGTTTTAACTAATCAGTTAAATTTCGTCAAGTTAATCAGGCTTGCAATCTCCTAATAAGAGGATTCAAGCTTTAAGTTGCAATGGAGAAGAAGTTAACTCCACAAAAAACAAACAAACACGGAGAGCAGAGGAAGACTAAGGAGTGAGGCGGGTGCAAGACACCCCAAAGCTCTCAGAAAGCATCATTAGAGATGGAGCTTTTTGACAGGGTTAGGAGATTGAGGATTTTATGGAGTAGAAAAAAAGAATATCGGATGGAAGGGATAATGGAAAGAGAAATTACAGAATGGAAGCTCACCTAGAGGACGAACGTATGGTTTTATATGTAGAATTTATCTTTAGTTTTAACCATATGAGGAAGAGAAGTTTCTACATTTTTTTATAACTCCAGATTTTTTTTAAATCGTCATTAAATACTGCAGAGATCAGATCTTAAAGCGATACACAGTTAAGCCCCAAATTATTCAACCCAGATGGCATATATCGATCTAAGACCATTTTCAATTAATAAAGCAGTTTGTAAATAGGAAAAGACATGAACAACTCTCAGTTGATAATAAACAAGTTTTGGAGGACTACCGTTTTTTTCTTTCATATTTTTTTACGATAATTGGCAAATGAAAAATATTTACTCGCATTTCAGTGCATAAAGGCTTCATAAGATAAAAACCTTTCCACAATAGATGACCGGGTTTTTGCATGTTTACATTATCTTTCATGATTAAGGCTTTGCAGATGGATAAGCTACCTTCCTAACCTGACTCCGCCAGATGGATTTGCTCCGCATATCCATCTGGAAACCTTCCGTTGCAGTAATTTTGGGAAGGGGCGAAAATACTGGTTAGCTGATTGGCCTATGTTGGTGATAGACGGGCCAAATAAACCAATCAGATCAGCAAAGCATATGACGTACTAACAGAGCGACGACGAAGAGGAGCCAATTGATAGATCAAACTCTTGCCGAAACCAGTCGGGAGAAGAGCAAAGACATCTTTTCCTCTGAGAAAAGCCTCCAGAGCAGTGTTTTGATCTTCTTTCAGTGAAGAAATACTCTGTAATTCCGATAAAACTTGCTCGATAGCCACGCTAACACTAAAGCCGCCATGTTCTTTAGACTGAACTGTCGCGCTTCTCGTTGCGTCACACCTCAACCAGCCTCAAAGCCAACGCTGATTGGACGTTCGTTTGGTGAACGGCTCCAAATTTTCTTTAACGGAGAGTCTCCAGACTGATCTGCAAGTGAAACCTTGAAAGCTCGCGAGATCAGGATGGTCTCACGAGGCTACTACCTTCCATCACCCTAATCATTGGCTCCCTTCACAGATTGTCTGCCAGAAATCAATCTTACAGTCAGATTTACTTCCCATCCCAGAAAACTGGGATGGGAAGTAAAAAAAAAAAAAAGCTCTGACAACAGAGTGTAGGTGAAGATAAAAACAGCTACTTTGGGTCATATTAAAGGGCATCAGTTAAAGATCTCTCTGCTGCAGCTGCACCTAAACCCACCAAAGGTTTGGATATTTTTGAGCTTAACAGTGTGTATGCCATATGAGAAAAAGATACGAACACACCTTTAAAGGCTTTTAAAGAATGAACTATTTACCTCTTCACGGAATTTAGAAACTTTTCTTCATCATTTAATGATCTGCCAAATATATATCAAATTTAAATGCATATAAATCTTTCTTTCCTTTGGGATATGATGCCAAACTGCTGGATGAATGTGAAAAGGACAGGGAAAGGAAATGGGAAGCAACGCTATTGGTGATGGATTAAAGATGGCCTACCAAGGTTGACAGTAAGTTTGACGCGGCCTCCGTCCAGCTCCAGTCGCAGGGTGTCCGCTGACTCTTTAGAGGTGGTGGCCATGAGCAGGCCGTACGCCCGCTGTGACATGAAGCGCAGCGCCACATCCTCTGCCTCCGTGTGCATGGTGACGGGCACGATGATCTTCAGGTACATGCTGCCGTCATAACTCAGAACTGTTGCCTCTGCACAGGGGATTGAAGAAGAGGTTTCAGAGGATGAGAAAAAGGGAGTAGGATAGATTTTCCACATTCACACACATATATAAGCAGGTATTAACTTTTATTGAGCCTTGTGTACTCTGGTGCCCTGTAATAAAATTCAGGACTGTTTTTAAAAGTGGTATCGTATAGAGCTAAGCCAAACAGCCCATGGTCGCTCAGGGAGAGCTGCACATTTACAGTTTAAGTGGGAGGTACTTCTTTGCACTCCATAACTCTTTCTTAGGGGTGGAAAACATGATGATGAAGATGCTCTAATTAGGGATGGGCATGGATATTTCTAGACAACGACCAACAGGGACCAGTACCTCTGCAGAACTGGTCCTCGCCCCAGTTATGGCCCCTGTACCAAAGATATATGCTAAGTTCAAAAACCTAGGACACGTCCTTAGAAGGCCAGATTCGAAGGCCGATTACATCATAGCGCGGCGCCGAGGTCTGGTCGGATTCCAAGACTCCTCGTTATGCGGCCTTAAAATGCGTCCTTCTTTTTGCCCGATTTGAAGGAAGGGTCCAATGTATCCTCAGTATCCTTGGATATCCCAGGATTCATTGCGAGACCAAGCAAGCTGTGATCAGAGTAAAGGTTACTTGGCGCCGAACAGTGGTGAAAATTGGAAGTTCAGTTTAATATAATACAAGTCAGTGGATAGTTCCGTCCTCCCCGGCGGAGTCCTCTGGGTTTTTGGCTCAATTTGTGGGGAGGTTCAGTTTTTATCCAAGTGAGCCTGGCTCCAGGGAGGAGACCAGTTTAAAGGTCCTGCATCAAGTTCTGGTTCCACGTCCTGTCTTGGCTACCCTCTTCCACTGAGCCTGCTCATCTGCACCTGATCCTGTCTGCTCCTGTGCGTGACCGTCTGATCATGCTTCGGAACTTTCTCAGACTCTGAACCCTTCTGGAAGATCTATGATGTCTGGAAGCCTGGATCATGCCACCTGTCTGTTCCAGCCTGATCTGGATCCTGTTCTGTCTGTTCCTGTCTGTTCTGGATCCCTTCCAGGATCGGCTTTCCTGCATGATCTCTGGGACTGCTGGGGACATTCTTGGACTGGACTGTTAAACCAGGTAAGTGACCAACTCAGATAATCATCTTTTGTCACATGATCGTGGTCACTTACCTGTGTTTCTCCCACTACAGAGTATCTGAGATTGGGAGGTGCCCAGCCCCCCCGCCTGCAGTTTCTGTGTGCCTCAGATCCTAGCAGCTCCCCCTTTAGTTTTGTTTTTTCATTAAATAAACCCTTTGAACTTGCCCACTGACTGTCTCCTTGAATACTGGGTCCATTCTGTCCTCGGTTCATGACAATAATATAGATTGATTTCATATAATTGTATGCACTGGGCTAGAAACCATGGCTGAATGCACCAATGTTATTTGTTTATCTAGATTGCAGATTCTAACAGTGATTTAAAAATTTAGGAAATGCACTTTTAACTTCTTGTGTGTTGAGATAGGATCACAGTTTTTACCTGATAGAGCAAGGGCCTGAAACCTGCAGCTCCAAAGCTCAAACCTTGACTGTTTGGTTCTGTTGCTTATACATTAAATAAGTGGTTCCCAAACTTTTACTGGTGGGCACCCTTTGATTTAAAACACAGATTCCGTGCAAACCCTTTATCAATGTTTTACCATTTAACAGAGAATGTCCACTGTCACTTCGTTTAAACTGCTATGTTGTTTTATACAATTTTAATTTTACTTGGTACATACAGCACTTTGTGGTTGTTTTAAAGGGCTTTATAAATAAAGTTGAGTTGAGTTGAAAACTTTAGTAAACCATTTGAAAAACAATAATCTAATTATGTCTTTTAAAGGGTCATTATTTTAGCCTTAACTGCTTATCTTACTGTTTAAACGAATTTACAAGACCATAAATACTTTTAAAATATGACCTCTTGAAATTTTGGGAATGCGCTGCATTAAATGATAAAATGTCGCCATGCTTTTTTTTTTTTTTTTTACTTCATTCATGTGTTCTGTGAAGCCATAACACATACTGTTACTGACTTTGAAAGACCTTAAGAGTGGAGTAAAGGTCAACCTTCCTCCAGGACAGCGATCCTTTACATTAAAGTCTCATGATCTTGACAGGCTTAATTATTCATTTCATTAACCTGTCCAACTCTGCCTGGCTTCTAATCACTGCGCATCTGATCCACCTGCTCCTGCCTGTAGTTAAGGTTTTTCCATCAAATTATCAGGGCCAAATTATTCTTGTTTTCTCCAGCCAGTGGTGACAGTGTTTTTAGAGTTCCTTCATGTTTCTGATTTCCTGATCCTGACCTGTTCTGCCTCTCAAGCACTGAGCCTGCCTGTTCCCATATGATATCAGTGGTGAGTGTTTTTAGCATTCCTTAGTGCTTCTGATTACCAGATCCTGACTTGCCCCTCAACCACTGAGCCTACCTGTTCTTGTTTACATCGGTTTGCCTGACCTGCTTCGGATTCTTGGACCTCTGAGCCTCCCTGCTTCTGTTGCCTGACGTGTTTTTGGACTCCTGCTTGTTCTCTCGGGCTATGGCATCTGGGACACTCTGGGTGGCACCTGCCGCATGTTGTTGGCAGCCCACTGACTGGATCCTACCTCCTTCTCTGTGCATAGACTGAACTTATAAAACAGAGGTTCCTGTGATAGACGTGCTAGCTGATGCTACTGCACTTCTGCCTTTTTAATAAACGCCTTTGAATTATTCCACTGTCTGTCTTGCCTCAAATACTACCTCAAGTCCTTCTGATCTGTACCTGCCTAGTCAAAGTCTGGCCATCAATAGTATTTGACTGAAGCAACAGATATTGTGTGTAAGAAACAGTTGTCATTTTTTATGTTGAATTAAATTCATTTGTAAGAGTTAAGATATGTGCATGCTTGTGTCTATGTGCACATGTATGTTTAGATGTAGATAAACCAAAATATTTGCTAATTTATTGGCTTTTTGGCATAGCTTGGACTCATGAGTTAAAGCTTGTTGTCATTACACTGGAAAAACAATCTAGAAATAAGTAGAATTTTCTTAAATTAAGCTTATTTACCCCTAATTTGAGTAGGTAAATGAGATAGTTTGCCAATGGAATCAGTATTTTTACTCTTAAAATAAGATAATTAGATAAAATGCACTTGAAATAAGACAATGCAGTTGTGTGTTCCTATTTTAAGAGTAAATTGTCTTGTTCCATTGGCAAAATTTCTTTTAACTCCTCAATCCAAGAACAAATGCATTTATTTTAAGAAAAAATTACTTATCTAGATTTGGATTTTTTACAGTGTAAGAACTATAGGAGGCAAAGGGGTATGACTGAACAAGTTTATCTTCTTCATACCCCTTTTCAGACATAAGTCATTGATGTGTCATTGACTAAATCTGATGGTTGCATATGTTGAATCTGTTTTTTTTTTTTATTCTATTGGATTGTCTGAAATAAAGCTGTTTATTCATTCATTTAAAAAATATGTATGCATTTAAGACGGTTGAGACAAAAAACCAAAACTCATGTGTTGGGCTGTCAAAAATATAGCCTGGTGATATGAAGCAAAGAATGTAAAAAAGAATTTGATTTTTCCCATCTTTAAAATTAGAAAAATAAAATATATATTCGTAAGAAGAACAGCAGGAAAATTAGATCAATATTTAAATTAAGGTATGGTTTACTCAACTTGAATTAAAAAAAAATCAACAGTGCTTGGTTATGGTTTTAAAAGACATGCTATAAATATGACATGTAGCTGTGATTAATGCATCTATAATGAAACTGACTGAGGAGACTGACAGTCTGCTCCCTGAGGGCTGCTCTTATCTAGTGTGGAGAATTGACATGCTTCACCACAGGCTAACATGAGTCACTCACATCAGGTGTGCTAACATAGAGAACATAACGTTCAAAGATGCAAATAAACCCCAGTTGCAATCAAAGATTTAAGAAAAAGGGCAAATTCGCCTTCAGTTCAGTGGCAAATTGTCAGCTCAAAAAAAGGAAAAAAAAACTCACATTGGTTTACAAAAATACTTTCATTTTTTAATCTTTACCACCACACTGTCATTTTATCTTATTTTATTTTTTTGACTATATCTAGCATGAGCTGTTTTACCTTTCTCAATCTACAAATGTGATGTACAGTCTTACATTCATGCGTGGGTGGCGGTTAGAAAACTGCCTGCTTCCAGTAATAATCCTGAGTGACCACTAGATGGCAGAAGAATGATGCAGAAACCACACCTGTCATTCTAGCACCTGAGGACTGAACTGCAAATATATAACCCTTCAAACAAAGAAATTCCATCCTCTGCTTCAACTGTCCTGATTTGAAACCAATCTCTGCTTCCCTCATTACCCTCCTTGTCCCTCAAAATCTGATGCCGTCATGCCTCGCTCACCTCCACAGACGTGCAAAGAAAAAAAAAAAAAGAAGACCAATGTTCTTGGAGCTACTCAGGAAACAGTCTGGTACTATTTGAGTAGCTCACCCTGTAACCCCTGTGGCGTATCCCCCTCCTCCGCCTTGGTGTGTGTGTGACAGGCACAGATGGTGGCAATAAGCCCGGCTGCACTGCCACATTGCTGCCAACCCACCCACCCCCACTCAGCCACCCACTGTAACTCAGCCTCAAGCATCAATTGGTTCAGACATAACTCCGTCTGGAGCTTTCACTCCAACTATAACAACAGCTATTTAATTATGTCAACTACCAGGAAGAATTACATCCTTGTGTTACTTTCCAAATATTTCAACTTTAATATCTTCCTTATTGCAAGGACAATGTCTGTGAGTGTGCTGCTTTTTCTCAGGATCCTTACCTATCTCACAGTTGGTTCCTAGGTATCCAGTCCCAGTGCAGTCACATATGTAACGGTTCCAGCCCTCCTTGCACAGGCCACCATTGCTACAGGGGGCACTGCTGCAGCGCTTCTGCAGCTCTCGGGTGCAGAAGCTGCTGACGCCCAAAGCACTCTGGATCTCAGCCAGACGCCGTACGTCACGACTCTTGCCATCGATGAATAAATCACGGACGCAGCCCACATAGCCGTAGTTCAAGAGGGCCGTCCAAACCTCTGGCGGCAGGATCAAATCCGACTTTGACTCAGGCAGTCCACCGAGGTACATATCACTGTCCAGGTCCAGGATTTCACTGCCTTCAGGCGACAAAAAGGGCAGGCTTCGGCTGTTGACTGAGATGGACCCTAAAGATGAGACATAAGAATGATCAGAAAAAGAGGAATTAGTGAGCAGTTTTCAGTATATGGTTTCGTCTTGTAGTTTAAGAAATAGGATGTGTTTTTATAGCAGAAAAAAGATTAATCTTACTCTAGAAATGCTTGAAAAATGTGTGTATTTGTGCTATCAGTTGGTGAAATAAGGGCCATGGAGGTACAGCTATATGGAGTGACATTTGTTCCATTATTGTTGAAAGCGATAGAAAGAATTCATCACCAAATGTTGCAAAGAAATGCAACCTACAAAGCATCTTAATAAAAATTGTTTCTGTGGTTAGGGCATGCTTAGGTAGAACAGTGGTTTGCGCGCATAACCCATCTGCAGAGGCCCTTGTCCTTGATGCGGCCGACCTAGGTTCGAATCCAGCCTGTAATCCTTTGCCACGCGTCTCTCCCCCCTGTCAGCCTGTTTTACAATAACAAACAACTAGTGCTGCAAAAACCGCAAAAAAACAGCTGTTTTCTCACATTTTATCATTTTTTTATTTGTTTTCCAAATTCTATATTTTGAATATGTATTTTTATATTTTATCATTTTCAAATAAACTTTGTCAAATGTATTTTTTCAGACTGAGTTTTAATTTTTTTTTCAAATTGTGTCTACACTGCAAAAAATGGAAATCTAAGTAAGTCATTTTTTCTTAAAGTAAGTGCATTTTTTCTCTAATTGAGGTCGAAAGTGAGAGACTTTACCAATGGAACAAGACAATTTACATTTAAAATAAGAAAAAACAATAGCATTGTCTTATTTTAAGTTCATATTATCTAATTATCTTATTTTAATAGTAAGGATACTAATTTCTTTGGCAAATCATTGAATTTACATACTCAAAGTAAGGGTAAATACACTTAATTTAAGAAATTTTTTACTTATTTCTAGATCTTTTTTGCAGTGTAAAGATCACCTTTACTTCTCGGGGCGGGCTTTCCTCTTGAGTTTGGAGTAAAGATGCTTTTCTATTGGTCTGCGTGGACGTTAGTAACAACATTTTTATATGGCTTCAAGGGAAAGTTAATCTACGGAAGAGGATTAGGGCCACTGGAAAAAAAAAAAAAAAGTTAACTGATTTTTTTTATTTTATTTCAGTATAGTATGGGAAAAAAGTCAGAATTCTGACTTTTTTTCTCAGAATTCTGAGATTAAAGTCAGAATTCTGACTTTTTTCTCAGAATTCTGACAACAAAAAAGTCAGAATTCTGAGAAAAAAAGTCAGAATTCTGAGATTAAAGTCAGAATTCTGAGAAAAAAGTCAGAATTCTGAGATTAAAGTCAGAATTCTGAGAAAAAAGTCAGAATTCTGAGTTTAAAGTCAGAATTCTGAGAAAAAAGTCAGAATTCTGAGTTTAAAGTCAGAATTCTGAGTTTAAAGTCAGAATTCTGAGAAAAAAGTCAGAATTCTGAGATTAAAGTCAGAATTCTGACTTTTTTTCCAATACTAAACTGAAATTTTTTTTTAAAAATCAGTTAACTTTTTTTTTTTTTTCAGTGGCCCTAATCCTCTTCCGTATTAATCTGATCTCTAAGAGGCCTAAAACTCTGTGTGAAAAAGACCATAACAAAATTTGACAATATTGAATCTGTAAAAAATTAAAACTTACAAGTTTCAAAATATCAAATCTGGGAAAAAAAAATAGAACACATAAAATAAAAAAAAATAAAAAAAATAAAAAAAAAAACATAAAAAAAAACAGCAACTACAGTTATAATCTTTTTCTAATAAAGACCTTTGGCATTTTTTTGTATTTCACTTTTCATAAACTGCTCTTTGCTCGCAACAATTATGGAACGAAAATAAACTCCATAAGACAGGAAACCGAACAAGGAGAAGCAGGATAGATGACAGATGACTGTGTGAGCACGTGTGTGTCTAATGTCTCTATAATAGGCTAAATGGAAGAGAAGGGAAGCAGAATGCAGCAGGGAGTGGGTGAAACAAAATGCCTCCTCTCTTTCTGTGATTAACGACTCCATCTTAATTTTCTATTAAAAGCCAATTACAGCAGGAGCAGCACTGAGATCCACGCATGTGCATACACACCGGCACAATCCCCACACCCTTCCTCATTATACTGCACCATTAGGAGGAGATATCATGTCCACAAGGTGCTTTAACACCTACAGATCATTCATCAGACGCAGAGAATTGACGCAGGTACTCCTGGTTGAGCACACAGGCAGGCGAAGGCTCCTCAAGACATCACAGCCATGAAGAATACATCTACATTAGGTCTTACCGCAAGTGGCATGGCAAAAATAATATGTGTAGAAAGGATTAAATTAATAAAAGCAGATTTTATGAGGGGACTGTCGAGCTGAATTCATAATTATCTCTGAGAAATAGATCTGCTCATAATTATGTGATCCTAACCCGACAATCTAAATCAGTTTATTATTTGATAAATACAAAGAAACATTAATAAACTTGACATAAACACAAAACGAAAAATTCATCATATTAATGGATAGATTTCTTTAAGAGCTCCAACTAAATAGGATTTTTTTTGCAACAAATAACAGAAATCATGTTTTCTCTTTGAGGAATTTAGGAAGCAGGAGCATCACAGTGAAATACCTCCCGTAACCTTAGTGACGAGAAATCCCTCCTCAATCAAGATACAGCATTCTGGAGTATTAGGTACAGTGCAGAATCATAGTTAATGGTTGAATTCCACTTCCATGTATCCTAAGTCCTTAACATTCTTCTGTTTGGGTGTTAGAGATGATTCTAGGTGAAGTTTTCTGTTTCTTTTCTATACGTTTCAATTAGCTACAAATGCTAACTCTTGACTTTGTCCTTGTCTTTTATTTCTTCAGTTGTGCCTTTTGGTGTTCTGAGCTTTGCAACTTAACTCTTGTATATCAGTCTTTGTCTCCTCGGTCTGTTTCAAAATGATTTGCCACCCTACCCTGAGTAGTAACAGAACTGAAGACAACAGCTGGGTAAGTATACTTGGCAATTAGGGGAAAGGCAGGATAGAAGCCACCAAAAGCTGAATTTGTGGCCACACCCCTAAAACTGGGCATACATTGTCCAATATTTTCATTCATTGTACGTAGCTACAGCTTAAACTGTACAACGAAACTGCACTTATAATGTATGTTGTCACACTGTGAGGCCCTTGGCTTTGATGAGCTTTCTACCTGAACACACTACATGTCTAAAAACTACATGTAGGACCCAGCGCCGAGAGATGGCGCTGGTCGGACACGTCAATCTGGAAGAAGAAGTAGAACTTCCTTATTTGCACATGCGCAGTGCTTGACATTCTGGTAAATCGACTCGTAGCTGTGCTTAAACCGCAGGATTTGCCCACGACCACACCTGATGAAGTTCATACGGAAGAGGATTAGGGCCACTGGAAAAAAAAAAAAGTTTACTGATTTTAAAATTTTATTTCAATTTAATATAGGAAAAAAGTCAGAATTCTTACTTTTTTTTCTCAGAATTCTGACTTTAATCTCAGAATTCTGATTTTTTTCTCAGAATTCTGACTTTAATCTCAGAATTTTGGATCTTAATGTAGATGGGCACCATGGGGGAAGAGATCTGGGAGCACTCAGCTTCACTGACAAAGATGTGAGTTGTTTGAGGTGGCCAGTGACACATTGGTGGAAAATGACGGAATTAAAGGAATAGTACACCCAAAACATGATTAGCCTTCATTTTCTACTCACCCCCATGCTGAACAACACTCTGGAGTACTTTTTTGATATCTCAAATGCATCTGGAGATCTGGGAGGCTTCTTGCTGTCTGCTGACATTCAAATAATGGAGGTCTATGGTGCCCGAGGCAGAAAGGTCCATAAAAGTCCACAAAAAACGTGTCAATATTCCTCCATACTGCTCGTCCAATGTATTCCAAGTGTCCTGAGTGGATAGCATCCAGAATTTACTCGAAACAAAGTCATTTAGAATGTTTTTAGAGCATAAACAGTAGTGTATATGATTTCCTGAAAGCGCGCACATGCGCGTTCATGACGCTACGGAAGCCGGCAGACCAAACCAGCGCATTCAGCTCGGCAAAGAACTCATGCTCTTCCTCAACACTGAAGTCCTCAGACATTTTTCTTTCGTTGTTTCTTTCTTTGCACAGGTAAACAGCACATTTCTTCTTCTACGCTTGCATTATTGGCAGAGCAGACGCTGAATGCGCACTTTCATCTGGTTTGGTCTGCCGGCTTCCGTAGCGTCGTGAACGCGCATGTGCGCGCTTTCAGGAAATCCTATACACTACTGTTTATGCTCTAAAAACATTCTAAATGACTTTGTTTCGAGTAAATTCTGGATGCTACCCACTCAAGACACTTGGAATACATTGGACGAGCAGTATGGAGGAATATTGACACGTTTTTTGTGGACTTTTATGGACCTTTCTGCCTCGGGCACCATAGACCTCCATTATTTGAATGTCAGCAGACAGCAAGAAGCCTCCCAGATCTCCAGATGCATTTGAGATATCAAAAAAGTACTCCAGAGTGTTGTTCAGCATGGAGGTGAGTAGAAAATGAAGGCTAATCATGTTTTGGGTGTACTATTCCTTTAAGGAACTTTTTACATGCCCTCATTAATGGAGGAGCAGAAGGTCATTAAAACAAGAGAGCTAGTCTCAGAGATGGCTATGGCTTGATGCTAACATGTTTGTTAGCTGTCAGAATTCTGAGATTTAAGTCAGAATTCTGAGAAAAAAGTTAGAATTCTGACTTTTACCCCATGTTAAACTGAAATAAAATTTAAAAATCAGTTAACTTTTTCTTTTTTTTTTCAGTGGCCCTAATCCTCTTCCATAGGTTGTGTGATAGTTTGATTTTGCAAAATCTAAAGGCATATGCTAGGGTGTCTTAACAGAGTGCAGCAAAGAGGGCTATGGTTTGCCTGTTGAGCTTTCAGCCTTTCTTGAAATATCCTGAATTTAGAAACACTTGCAGCCAGGTGGAAATCTCAGAGGTAATTCAAGGATTTGTATTGCTTAATGATCAGACAAGCCTCTCTATCAAACGGTTTCTCTCACTTTGGTCCTCTAACGACTCATAAATCATAAATTGATAGGGCAAAATCCTCCGTTGCTGTGCGTGTTTAACAATAAAGTCCACAGGTGTTGTGCGGCATCATTAGTGCTACGAATAAAATATATTCCCTTCTTTATAAAATATAATGGTGGACAGACTCAGTGCAGCGAACACATGGAGACGGCTGAAGGCCGTCTAAAATCCTGCCCTGACAGGTTTCCCAAAAGATATTGTTTCAGTATTAATAGCCACTCTCTGATTGCTCGTAACAAATAGAAGACAAAAAAAGGCGTTAGATAATTTGTTTCAGTTTAGATATTTTTGTAAAAATGTGTTTACATCAACCTCTCCACTGATGTGGAGTGATGTCACCTCTGCTCTTCATCTGAATAATTAATGACAGCTCACAGAAGGAGGGTTGGAAAAAACCGAAAGGCTATTCTAAGACCTCCTTATCGGGCCTACAGCTGTCAATTGATCGTTTTGTTGATAAAAAGAGATGCTTTTGGTAAATAAAGTTAAAGATATGTACACTCAATATCTATTGTGATAAATGATATCCGTTTTTATAAACATTAAGAGAATAATCCATTCATAAATGAGTAATTTTACTTGAGGTACCTTTAGTTTCTTTAATCCTTTTTTATTTCCTAAATCTCCTTATGTCAGAATTTGCTATTATTTAGCTTTTTTTTATTGTTTGCTACATTGTGCCTAAAGTCCAGTCATGATTATTTTTTGAAAACAAATTATTTCATCTTAAACTACATATAATGACTTTAATTATGACTTATATCTTCAATAATGAAAAGTATGACTACTGTTCCTTTTAATTCCAGAGCAGTTCTGAGCTTCATCAGCTTTCTCACCTTTCCTTCCTTCCCTTTGGAAATCTACGTGGCACCATTCTCCGTCATTGACCTTCTTGTTGCTGGCCTTGAGCTTTGTTTTTCCAGAGCCCATATCGATCAGCAGGTATAAATATCCATCCAGCAGTTCCATAGCAAAGTAATCAGTCTTCAGTTCCCTCCCAGGCTTCTGCTCCTTAGGCCCCTGAGGGCGCCCATGGCTGAATAGCAACAGGCCGCTGGGCTCTGTGGTGCGGAAGTCGAAGGAGATGGAACCCGTCTTCTTGGTGTTCCACTTTGGCAGAGAGATGAACGCTTCAGGGGCTTCAAACGTTACAGGATCAAGAGCCGCCACATCTTCGCAGCGGAACACCAAATCACCATGCAGTGTGATTTTAGGGTCGCGGTCGATGGCGAGTCGGGAGAGCTCCAGCTTAAAGTCATTGTTCTTGTACACCACCTGTAGAAGATAAAAGCACAACAGGTGTATAAAAACAAGAACAGTGTTTGGAGCTGGTATAGTTTAAAAAATATGGAGTGGATTTTGTTCCATTATTGTTGCAAACAAAGACCATGTTATGCAAATGGGAATTTACAAAAATGAAATTTAAAAGTTTTAAAAATAATTTTGCTGCTTCATCTGATTTTAATGTTTAATAAAAAAAAAAAAAAAAAAAAAGATTGATAAAAAAAAAAAAATGAATTTCAATACGATTTTTACTGATATTGCATTGATTTTTAAGTTGTGTTTTACAGATCACATTTTCTGGAGTTAGAAGCAAAGATGCATTTCTGCTAGTTTGCTTTGATGCGAGCAACAATCTTGGTATTGGGCTTAAAATGAAAAGAATGCGATCTGTAAAACACAATTTCAAAAGACCACAAGCCATAAACTGAATCTGAAAAAGACAACCTCTAACTAAAAAAAAATTACTTTTTAAAAAAGTTATATAATAACAAAGTTTGAAAAATAAAATTAGACAAAATGATATATATATAAATATAAATATATAAATAAATAAAATGAATAGAAATTATTTGAACAAACAAAATCTGCAGACAGCAAGGTTACACTCAAAAGCTCATTTTATTTATTATTAAGAAGTTTTTTAGATTATTTTCTTTATGCATTTTCTTTTTCAAATTTCCATTTTCAAAATGTGTTTTTCTTAATTTCCCAGTTATATATGCTGCTGTCATTTTGTACATCTCTGATTTTGCAGCTATTTTCAAATATCCATTACTGTAAAAATGTCTATAGCTGCATATTGGTTATTTATTCTCCAGGTTCAGAGTTTTTATATTGTTAAAACCCTTTACAGTACAGCATTTTATTGTTTATCTTTTAAAACTTTACTAATATGTTCTTCTTATACATTTCTCTAAGGTCCATATTTATGTGACCATTTTTTCTATAATCTTTTAGCTGCTGTAAACACCAGAATTTCTATTCTATCCTATACTATAAATTGTTTTGTGTTTAAATTTGAAATTACAAAACTCTTTGCTACCAAAATTCTGTCTATAAAACCTGTCTTTTTTTGTCTTTTTTTTTCCTTTACAAGACATGTTATTTGCTTGCAACAATAATGTAACAAGCATTTTAGTTTCACCTGGTTTTATTTAGTTAAAACTCTTCTTTAAAGTACCTTTGGTTATCCGATTATTAATCCTTAAAATAATCAACAGATGAATCGATTAGCAAAATAATCATTAGTTGCAGCCCTAATAATCAGTCTTTAAATCACAGAACTGCAGCCGTCACATTTACAGCATTGTGGATTGCAAAGCAGCAGCAGATGTGAGTCTATAAGCTTGGAAAAACTATGTTAGGATGGACTGCAAGATGAAGAAACACAATTTGTATTGACTTGGCAATTCAGAACTTACGTACATTGGACAGAAATGACAGAAACCTCTAACAAGACATTTCAGTCAGATAAATGCTCAGTTTACTGATGATGAATTATTTGGTGAGAAAAAGTCTTTCCACTTCCCGCTCAAACACTGAGCAACCACTCTGGGCCGACGAGTTGCCTGAGATGTGCCTTCATTCATTTTAATGATAAGGGTCAGGGTTGTGTTAGTGCACATCAATCTCCGATTCACACTTTATGGACTCCTCCCTCTTGTTCAAAAACAGAAAAATGGAAAACCTATTTTGATGCTGTACATAAAAAGCAGCCCAGAGATCCAAGCAACAAAACAAATGAAAGGAGAATACATAAAATAAAGGCTCTGGGGGGAAATCCAAAAGCAGAATTACGTGAATACTGCCTGCGGTCTCAACTCAAATGTTTCCAAACCGCTTTGATGAAATACGGCGCTATTGTTTGTGCTTTAAATGTGTGTAACTCTGTGCCTCAGTGTATTCAGAACAAAGTAGGAGCTAAAGGCAAGATAAACTCTTGTCTTTTTAGTTTTAACTTTGCTGTGAGCACAGAGTACACACTGTTTGAGAGACCATCCTCAAGGTAACAGTGAGAACAAGCTGAGATTTCTCAGTTTTTATTGTAATGCCACCCTTCATGGTATTTTACACTCCTACACAACCCCAGTAAGAGTCTCAGTGGAAGAATGAATTTTTAAATTACACTCTATGTTTTTTGTTGTTGTTTTTTTGTAGCCGGCTACAACTTGCTCCAAAATCATAGAAGTGTATTTGCCATCAAAATTTTAATTGTATATGCTGCAGGAAAAAAAACAAAAACACTCCCATAACACATCCTAAATTAGTACAAATGAAATATTGTCATTGAATACTTTGTTCTTTACAAAGCTGAATGTGATGAAACAAAATCCCCCAAAATAATCAATGGAAATCATGAGTCACACACAGAATTAAAGTGGAAAAACACTACAGGCTGATCTAACTTTGATGTAACATCCTTAAAACAGGTCAAAATGAGGCTCAATATTGGGCGTGGCCTCCACATCCCTGTATGACCTCCCTGGGCCTGTTCCTAATGAGTTTACAGATTTTCTCTTCCCAGACCTGAAATAAAGCATCCACAAACAGCTAGACAGTTTGTGGTGTAACGTGATGTTGGTGGATGGATCCAGACATCATTTAGCCTGACGTAGTCTTACTCAATTCTAGTCAGAATATGAGTCTGATACTGCTCCATAGAGCTGTGATTATGGGGCGTGTTTCGAATGAACCAGGGAAAAAAATGCCTCTGCACTCAATTGGATAGACCTACAACCAATAAGAGCAACGGAGTGCGGGACGTATGTTAAGCGACGCATAGTTGTTGTCAACAAAAATCAAAGTGTGCAGTTGCACGCCTAGAATAAGAAGATGAGCCTTGATCGCGTTTCTCTGTTCCTCTTTTAAAATGTATTTGCTGTCAATATCTTCTAGAACAGACCTAATAGCAGAATCTACACACCTCAACTCTCCAGCGGCAGCCATTGTTGTTGTCGCCCAAGCGCGCTTTGGTTACGTGGTTGATTACGTTACTGTTGATCATCTGTCCATCATCGTATAAAGCCCACCCTGACAATTTGATTGGCCCGCCAGATATTGTGCGAGCATACTCGCGCTACTACTGAGCAATGCCAGACCGAACTTCCCGACCTCAAACGTTGCTGGCGGGACTAAGTTCGGAATGGCACCCAGGCTAGACATCATGTCCCAGATGTGCTCAATTAAATTCAGGTCTGGTGAACGGGCAGGTCAGTTCATAGCTTCAATGCCTTGATCTTGCAGGAATTGCTGACACACTCCAGCCACATGAGGTCTAGTGTTGTCCTGCATAAGGAAGAACCCAGGGCCAACCGTACCATCATATGGTCTCACAAGGAGTCTAAGGATCTCTGTACCTAAATTTGCTAACCCTGGTGTTCTCTTGCGAATGCCAGGTGTCCCTCATGGTGTTGAGCTGTGAGTACAACCCTCATCTGTGGCTGTGGGGCCCTCATGCCATCCTCATGGAGTCGGTTTCCAACCGTTTGTGCAGACATATGCACATTTGTGGCCTGCTGGAAGTCATTTTTCAGGGCTCTGGCTTCTGTTTTCTCCCTGTACAAATGCAGAGGTAATGGTCCTCATGCTGGGTTGTTGATCACCCATGGCCTCCTCCACATTTCCTGGTGTAGTGGCCTGTCATCTGGTGGCACCCCCAGCCTCTGGACACTATGCTGACAGACACAGCAAACCTTGCCATAGTTGATGTGCCATCCTGGATGAGCTTCATTACCTGACACAGTGGGTTGTAGAATCTGGCTAATGCTACCACGAGTTCAAAAGTATCACCAACATTCATAAGTAATATCAGCCAGAAAACATAGGTACTGAGAAGTGGTCTTTGGTCCCCACTTATAGAACCACTCCTTTATTGAGTGTGTCTTGGAAATTGGCAATAATTTCCACCTGTTGTGTAACCAATTTAGATATCAGCATGTTAAATTGATTGTCAATCAGTGTTGTTTACTAAGTGGACAGTTCAATTTCACAGAAGATTTATTTGATTGAAGTTATATTTTGTTACTTGTGTGTTCCCTTTATTTTTTGAGCAGCCTATTCAGCATATAAAGAAAAATCCTTGAATGATATTCAAAATTAATATTCGATTAAAATTTCGAAAAGAAAGTAATTTGGAAATTTCAAATGGTTTGTGTGAAACAATATGATATTTACAGCTTCCCTTTCTGGTGTAAAAAAAAATGTTTCTCAAGGTAATTCTGTTAGATTATAAGATTTTCAGCATGAAGCTCCAACTATGAAAACCGACTAACTTTCTTCAAGCTAATATAGAACTTTTTCTCTTGCATGAAGGTGATAAAAAGGATTTTGATGAGGACAAGAACTTACTGCAAAATATGTCAATGTTTTTATATTTTTTCATACTTCTTTTTCTATCAGACCTTGTAGCAGTTATTGCATTTATATATGTGTAAATATGTATATTCTCGCTTTTTCTTACAGAGAACAGTGATTTATTCAGCTTGTGTTGCATTCTTCTGTGACTTTCACAGCATTTCTCCCTTAATGTCCGCAGTTCTTTTTCTTTCAATGGAAACCTCTCTCTCTATTTCATCTTTCTTTTAAACCAAGGACAGAATGTTCAGCAAGAGCACTTGAATGCCAGGTTATTCTTGAACTTAAGGCTCCTTTGATCATCTTCTAAATTGGCCACACTGCAACATGTACAGTACACCTCCTAATGTCGTCATTAGCAGAGATTAGTCCTGGTAATTAGCCATGATAACACTGAAACTGGCAGCTAATAAGGCGTGAACTTGCCTGAGATAATGTGTAAAGAAGTAAAAAAAAGGTGCGGAGGAGGAAAGGCTTTAAAGGGAAGGTAAATGTTTGTGTCTTTTCAGGTATTTACTTTGGTATCAATAAAAGACAGCCAGGTAACATCATGAATAAAATACAGAAATATCTTAAATTATAAGATGAAGCCAGGCTCTGTGTGATAATTAAAAATCACCTGATATTTTGCTTTGAAT